CATGATATGGCCATAAGCTTGGCAGGATAGGGCTTTTATATATACATAGATATTGCTAATGAATTTACTACAGAAATGCAATTTGAATTATTTCACTATAGAAATGCATTGAAAATGAAGTAGACAGGGATTGTCATGGATGAGGAATTAAATTCTTTGTAAATATTTAAAAAAAAAAAATCTCAATTCTTATCTAGTTTTTTCCTCATTTTTAATTACTGTTCCTTAATCTCTTCTTTAACTATTAAAGTAAACAGTGTAAAGTTGTAATAAAGAATTAGATCCTAATAAAACTTGAACTCACATTCCATGCCTCAGGAGTTTATCTTCGACAGCTGATGCCTCAACCAATTCAACCACAGGCAATTTCATGATCAGACAGGATTCTAATCTTGTCGTAATGACTACAAGATTAAAATCAGGAAAATACATCAGAAACAATGAAGTAGACTTAAATGGACTTGAACCCTTGCTATTTTGTACCAAATACCTGTACCATCTTGAATAGTCATGCCAGTGGGAATTTTTCAAATAATAAAATAAGTGTGCTAGTTTAAATTAACTTAGTGCCAAGAATTTTTATACATGTTTAATAAACATGTGTAAAACAAAATACTCATGTTGCAGAGAAATTTATTTGAAAAATAATAAACTTTCTGTACCAAATAAGTCTTCCATGCCAAAAAAAACAGCATGTTTGGGTTGAAGGAAATAATTTAGTTATGGCAGCACTTGTAAACAATAACATCCGACATGCTAGGAACATGACATGTGGCCATGGTTTCTCCAACTCATTATAAATGGTGAGTAGCTGGTCAGGAAATGGAAGTGAACTCCCAATGTCAAAGTACCGTGTATAAATGGGTGTGACCCCTTAGGATCTCAATCCTAACATCACCACACTGTACATAAACAGATGTGTGGCAATAGGTTACTTGGAATGCTGTTGTGGGAGTTATTTCTTTCTTTTTGATATTCTCACCCCCCCTCTAAGATCAAAAACATCTACTGGTTTGCTATTTTACCTAACATGACTCAAAGGCTCTTGTTGAGTTGTTGTATTTTCTGCTGCTGGTTCCCTGAAAATCAAGTGGTTCAAATTCACTTGTTGGAAATAATTACCAAACACCAGAGTATGATTATAGAAAATGTATTTACTTCTTGGCAAATAGACAGAAATGTTAATTAAAAGAACATTAAACATTATGTGACTTTGGACAGCCTTTGGCATGAGAATATTGACAACCTTAGTGTATATGTTCTTTGGTTATATTCACATACAATAATAATCATGTAAAAGTTTTCACTATCATTAAATCTTAATATTGGTTTGGACATTGCACTGTTTTTCGGTTCCAAATATATATCTGCTACACTGCCATTGATCAGAGGACTTGCTGCTGCATGTAATTTATCATTGTACCATAACACACGATGACATCATCACAAGTAATGCAAGATGTCACGCAAACAGTGAGTTTTTTAGAGCTGATATTTACGAGGCAGGTTTAATGATGTTGAATTTGAAAGGATTAAAGAAATTTTATAATTGAGAAAAAAATTTTTTTGTTTCTGTTGAATTTGCTTTTTTTCTCTAATCAATGTAACTTTTATTGCTCTTGCGGGTAACAAAAGCTAAAAAAATTAAATAAATCCAATATTAGTAGTAATATGAAGATTAGTATAAATATAAAATATACAACAAGCAAAAGGTTCTGTACGTAAATATTTAGCCATAATGAAAACAAACTGATGGATTTTTTTCTTTTTCTTTTCATTGGTGACTTGTCTAAAGAAAATTTAAGGTGAAAAAAGTCTTTAACCCCTTCCCCAGCATAAATATGTAGGTACATTTTTACTGAAAGTACATTTTTCAGACACAGATGAATAAACATGTCCAAAACATAATGTTCAAAAACCAACTACAGAGATATTTATACATTGATCCAGATTTTTTTATGTCCTTCTAAGCTTGAAATGAATCCAATTGTCAACTCATATGCTTGGTAGAGGTGTTAGTCACTACTTGGGTACTTCAAGGTGCCTCAGTTTCTTAGTTACTATATTAAAAATAAATATTTGAAATATCAACACCTTGATTATGTCATTATTTTCTATTTGAAAGTCTTCAAGTGATGTGGTTTCTATTATTTGGTACAGTTCTTTCTTTGTGATTCTGTAGCGCCAGACCCCAAGGTTTGAAGAGCCATTTTTAACTATTGATCTTAAAAAGCAGTCGTATACAGCTGACAGTTTAGATATTTCTGAACAGGTTTGTCATCATCTCTTGAAAGTCTCAATCGGATGAGAATATTTAAGAACATGATTAGAGTTTTCAGGTTGATGTTTTGGTTTTGTAGCAATTGGTGGTGTTCAGTGAAACTAACTCTGGTGTAGCCTATTCTATGTACAATTTCCTTTTCTACTATACTAAATTTATTATAACTGATCCATACACCACAGTATCAGAAGTGTTTGGTATTTACTAAATCTACATCCTGAATTTTTATGATGCATAAATTTATAAACATATCTGTCACTTGTCCATCCCACTTTTACTTTATAATATTTTCCAATCAATTTTGGAAGATTTCCATAATTCAGCCTTAGTTTTTCAATAATTGATAATGCCGTAGTAATGTGAGTTTTATTAAATTCAACTGATAGATTCTCTGCCATCTTCATTGTTCTCTGCTCAGTGCTCTTTGCTGTTCATAACTTTCTCTTACCAACTGGAGTCCATCTCAAAACAATTCATTGTCCAGTCATTATAAACTTTGTTTCTTCTTATCAAAAGACTGTCTTACTGTCTGTCCTTCTGTAAAGTTTTTCATTAAAGAACTTGTTAAACTAGTAAATATGATAGATCTTCTATAAGAAGCTATTGTGGGAGATGCCAGCCAGCCTTTGTGACTTTCAAGCATTCAGAGCTTTGACCTCTACACTGGGGGTTGGACACAAGGCTAACAACAGTACCCTGGTAAAAAACAATATCTTTCTTATTCCTGAAGCAGCAACAGCTAGAACTATGGGTTCACCACACAGCTTAGAACACTCATGAAGCAAAGTGAATTGTGAATTATTTTATCTGAGGCAGATATTTTTATAGCTACATAGACAATAAAATCTACAGGAGAAATCTTCAAAGCAGCCACACGCAGAAAATAATTAAATGAAAACTTTCTGGATCAAGTGCCAATTGGCTGGAAGTTAGGGATGTTCCAGTTACAGGCTTATATTAGCAGAGTCTTGAAATGTACAGATGAGTTTCAAGCTGCCTGTTGTGATACAGAGATGAGTAGGAGATGGTAGAAGACAGTGTTCTCAGTGACCAATAGGAAGATCTGGTCCATTAGTCTATTGAAACAGAAGTAGTGAAGTTGTCCAAGTGTCACCTACCCACCCACAGACTGTGCCAAGTGAATCCTTGAATAAAATAGCTTATGTAAAACAGAGGATGTCTGTGTGTCTGTGTTATATCTTTTCACTCAAGATTCATCCAACCGATTTTGACCAAACTTGGCACATACATTGTACAATATAAGAGATAGGTTCTTAGTGTAAAAAAAAACAAATCGATAATTTTTTAAAAATTAATAATTGATAAAGCCGATCAAAAATCAATAAACTCAACTTTTTCCTCTGATTTTGTTCAAACTCAGTATTTAGGTTACTTACATCATGATGAGCTCAACAATACCTCATTTTTATTTTTACGCCACTGTGTTTAGCAAAAAAACACAAAAAACAAAGAATCAATTTCAACACAAATCTTCAACTAAAACTCCTTCAATTTTCGAGCAATCTAATACAAACTTCACTCAATTGTAGTCAACAATAAGTTAATTAACAGTCATTTAACTTGATAATTGAGTCCACCCATATAGTGAAAACCCACATAAATAGTGAAAAATGTCAATTTTTACTGATTTCTTTGTTATTTTTCGTTGATCTTTCAACCAATTTTCATCAAACTTAACAATTGCTTTATAAATGTACTTTTACATCCCTGGTAGCACACTGACAAATTGAATTTCAAAAACTCCAAAATAATTGTGGTCTGAAGTGGGTCTTCATGTTGCCTGTTTTAACCCTTCATGTCCTTGACTAACTTCGATTGAATAAATACAGACTACTTCTGTTATATCAGTAACTGCATTAATTCAAAATGTTTTTCAATGAAAGTACTTTAAAGTAATTGAAGAAGATAGACTCTGTTACATTTAAACATGATGCCGTTTGTGATCAACTAGCTGGGTATGGCTGCTAGTTCAATATATCAATAAATGCTCAATAGACTTATCTCATTGATTGACTCCAGTTTCACATAAAACCACTCATCAGGGTCAGATGGTCTGATAAATTATTTGATGGCTGTCTGTGTCATATTATTAGAAAAAAAAAACAATATAATAAAAAAAATAGGGATTTGTCCCTTTATATCACACGATGGTATTAATTGCATCTTTCATTTCCTAGAGATTTCCCAGTTTTTGTGCACATTGATACAAATGAATCAAAATATAAAGAAGGGTGATTTGTCCAGTTGGGGAAAACAAAAAGAACCCCAAGGTACATTTATATAGCACTACTTTCTGTCCCAGATGATCTCACAAAAAATCCCCAAGTGTTATCAATTCTTATTTGAGCTGTGTGAAAGTTTCTTGAAGGAATTAAACAAAACAACGAATGATCTGAAGCAATTTCATTTTATTAAAACATTGCAGGATTAAAATATACGTAACCATTTGGTCTAGGGCAGCATCCATAAACAATGAGCTATGTGATAAGTGGGGATGGGGTTCTGCATTTACAGTAAATAGAACTGGATGGGTAGGGTTGGCTGAAGAGATTGCAACAACAGACATGCCACAATGGTTACCACCATAGTCACGGCATGATTACAAGGACCAAAGACAATGAGAAAAGGCATTCATTATTAGTGTCAAAGAGGCCTGATTATTTCTATCACAGATGGATTTCACATTTGGCAAGATTTTTCATGTCGCAAGTCCAAAGCCTTTCATCATCTGAAAACATACAAGAAAGAATGTAGGAAATTTTTGATTCAATGACGGATACAAGATTAGCAAGAGTGATTGAATAAAATGAACACAATATCTCTCCAAGTCTTTTAAAGAAGCTAAGGTAAAGAGAATGCATAAAAATATGCATGAAAATGCTATCAAGGCTGGTAAGAAAGTGAATAGATTTTATGGTGGGTGGAACAAAGTTGAATTTTAATGTTTGCTTTATGCCAAATGGTCTGTTAAAATTTATTTTATTAGAGATTCAATCATTTCCAGGAACTTGTCTGCAGCTTTTGGTTTCTATGAAAATAATTTTCTACTGTAGAGTCAAAACTCTTATTCCAACTGACATATCTGCTGGAAGAGAAATAAAAAAAAAAAAAATCCTCCAATTACTGTCTCAGATGGCATTTAAAAACCTTTGCTCAGTAAGACAACTGAAAGAGAAGTGTTCTTAATATTAAAGAGAAAAAAAAAAAAAGAGTGTAGGATGGCATATCAAATGTTATTGCAACTTCATTGCTGTTCCCTGTTGGGCCCAATTCAAAACAACATTCTTTTTGGGCACTTATAAATTTAAGAAATTTATATTTGTGGATGGGGAAAAAAATGGTGTATATATATATATATATATATAGAGAGAGAGAGAGATAGATATACACACACACATATAAGCAAAAAAAAGTGATTTAAAATATTACACCCAGTCTGTCCTGCTATTTACCCATAGCTGGGGGAGGGGAGACAAGATGAATTTACATCTTTCCAAAGGGTTTTTGCATGTAAGTGAATGCAATGAACTTGGCTGGAATTCAAACTCAGCCCTCAGATTTCTCATTCTGCTATTATCTATTATACCACCACACATCCATTATATTTATATATAGAGAGAGAGACAGAGACAGAGAGAGAGTGTACTTGTGCCATTAGTTTTTTTTTTTTTCTACAATCTCAATTTATTTCTATTTAAGCCAAATAACTCAATGTCTCAATAAATAATATGAAATTGCTAAACAATTTCAACCTGATTTTATATATATTTGTAGGTGTTTTTTAAGTATAAAATATTACAATTAAAGAAGAAAAAAAACAGAGTTCGAATTTCAACTTTATTCAATATTATAATAATATTGTTTGCTTTTTTATTTATTTTTATAAATTAAAAAACTTTTATTCTGTAAAGTTATGATACTGACAATTAAAATTGTCAGATATAAAAAGTTATTCTGTCAAAGAAAAACAAACCAAGGTTCAATTTCGATAAATAAATAAAGAACAAACAAAAAATAGATTAAAAATCCATTAAAATTAAAATTATCTAATAAAGTTTTTGCATTTGTTTCTATGTTAAAGTAAATAGTGTACATATCATTACTGAATTTAAAGACTATAAAATTCCTTCTTATTTTTACGATGTAAAATTATTTGAAAACTGTTTTCTTTACAATAAAATAATCGACAATTTTAATCTGCATGTTTTATTTTATTTTAACTATTTTGTAGTAGTAAAGTTACAATATTGACATTTTTGTTGTGTAGAAAATGAAGGACAAATTTTAAATGTAGAAAAAATTTTACATAGTTATATGGGAAATATAGCTGAACATTTGAAGTTATCATTTTTTGGTTAACTTGTTTCTAGTCAAATTATTATTTTCCCTAGAATAAAAATTATTCAAAAGAACATTTGAAGAATTCCAGATAAGCATACTATCTAATTTTTCAATACTGTGACTCACCACAAGAGTCCACATGAAAATCTCTGCCAGAATATTCAAAGTTATGTGCATGGCTAATTTCCTTTGATTCAATGAATGAAGAAAAGAAGGATTTTTTTTGTCAGTTTACCAACTATTATAGAGAACAACATTTGTAGTATTATCATTAGGATATAGCAGAAACCTTAATACTCACCTGAAAATAGCTGTTTATTTCAGGTATTTTGTCTTCATTATCACTTCTAAATATTAAATTCTTGGAACTATTGCATTTCATTTTCTTAAAAAATGCAAAACAGAAATAACCTGTTATGTATAATATAACAGGAACAACTTCTTTGCATTGATTAACATCCTCATCTGCTCCATGTTAAATATATAAATATCTGAATCCCACCCACCCCGTGCCACTTCATCCCAGTTTAGTTTGTAAATTCTTCAAATCAATACTTTGGTTATTAACTGGCAGGCTCAATTTTAAAACTGACATCATTCTGTATTTTTATCCCACTCAAATACTTGACATATAGAGAGATTAAATTGATCTCTATCAAATTGCCAATACTGGCCAAATCTATCCTCAAGGTGATCTGTTTGAAATTTACCAGCCAATACATACATCATTTTCAATTCTTCTAATCCACTTAAAGTAAATGATGGCAATTATATATTTCTCAATGCATTCTGCAACTGGTTAGAATCTTGGAATAGCATTCTTGAAAATAATGGGAAGCTAACAAATGAAACTTTCACAATTTTGTATCATACTACTCATGCAATTCTAGATATTACACAGAAGAATAGTGTAGTCACTCATGGGGGGGACAGAATATTCTATTACATCACCTCCCCCCAAGCTGAAATTTTCCTCTAGAAAATTTAGCTTTCTAATACTTTCTCTTTTTCAGTTCTGAACTTAACCACACTGTGGGTTTTCCTTGTACTCTTTCGAGGTGAATAACATCTCGCTCCTACAGGCAAAGCTGGTGTAGGAGATATATTCATGTGTTCTGGTATGTTAGTGGGTGATGTTATTTCAAACATGTCATACAGGACATCCATCAGAATTTCTTCGTCATCCTGTTAAACGATTTCAGAGTATCTTGGTCTTAACTGGTTTACATGCCTTTTGCATACACATCTTTTTCCTTTCACCATGTAGATTACTCTTCCAATTCTATTTGAAATAATTTTTCAAAAAAAAAAAAACATTTTCTCTCACCAAAAGTAGTTCCTGAAGAAAGCTTTATCACCAGGCATATATTTCTTTGCACAGAAATTCTCTTTGTTATGCATTTTCTTTTTTGGACAAGGCAACAACCTGTCAAATATTGATCTTATCTTTCTTGCAAACATCAATTCAGCAGGTGACAATTTTGCTGTATTGTTTGCATTCGGTGTTACTCTGTATACTGCTAAGAATTTCCTTATAGCTTTCTCCTCTGTGTCTACCCCTTGCTTTTTCTTTAATGCTTGTTTGAATATGTCCACAAATTTTTCTGCTTGTCCATTCGACCTTGGATGGTAAATCGGAGTTGTGACATGTCCAATGAAGCACAGAATTCTTTGAATTCTTTACCTGTAAATGCAGTTCCATTATCACTGACCAATGTCTGAGGAGCTCCAAAGCAGCTGCAAACTTCATCTAAGGCACTGGTAGTATTTCTAGAAGTTGGGTGTTTGTATTTAAAAACTTCTGGCCATTTCGAGAAAGTATCCACGACGTCTATATACATTCATGGCCAGAAAACATAACTTCTCATAAGAGATTTCATACAAGATATGCCAGGGTTAAGATCTTGTCTGCATACATTAACGTATTTTCGCAAATTGAATAAGGAGAAATTTTTATTCCCTTTTTATTTCTTTCATTTATCCTGGCTTGTATTTTCATATTTTTAATAAAATTATCATTTTCTACTGCTTTCCTTATGTCTTCCAGCGTCACCGGTAGTTCCTGAACAATTTTACACAGCAAATGCAATATTTCTTGTTTGTCCTTTAAAGCCACAATTATAGTTTCTTCCAAAGTTTCATTGTTTTGGAATCAACCTTGATAGTGCATCTGCATCCAAATTTTTAGATGAGATGTACTCCATTTTAAAATGGTAATTCAATAATGTTACACCCCACCACTGTAATCAGTTTGCAGTACGAGTTGAAATGCCCTTCTTTGACCCAAAAATGGTCAGTAACAGCTTATGGTCAGTTTGCCGTGTAAACACTCTACCGTGAAGGAAATGGTGGAATTTTTTAACTTCAAAAATGATTGCTAAGCTTTCCTTTTCGATCTGACTGTAATTCTTTTCTGGTGGCAAAAAAGTTCTTGAAGTGTGTGCAATTGGTTTTGTTGAACCATCTTTGTATTTATGAAGTAGCACTGCTCCGATTACATATTCACTAGTGTCAGAAGCAACAACTATTTCTTTTTCTGGATCATAGTGCACCAATGCTAAATCAGTCAGTAAACAGTTTTTAATTTTTTGAAAAGTTTTATTAACAGTTTTTGGACTAACACCATTTAACCCCCATTTTCAGCAACTCGTGTAATGGTGCTCTTAATTCATACATCTTTGGAATGTATATTGTATAGTATTGCACAAAACCTAAAAATGATTACAATTTTGTGATGTTATCTGGGGTAGGCCTATTTCTTATGGCTTCAGTTCTCCGTGGATCTGGTTTTCTGCCATCTCTATCCACAATCTGCATGAGATACTTAATTTTTTCCACAAAAAACTCACATTTTTCGGGGTTCACTTTGAATCCAAATTCTTCTCTCTTGAAGATAGCCCCCTTTTTTTTTTATGCTCATCCATATTTTTACTTTTCACCAAGATGTCATCCAGATAAGCAATGTCAAATTCTAACCCTGGAAGCATTGTATCCATGATTTGCTGAAAAAGTGAAGGTGCAACTTTTAAACCAAAATGAAGTCGGTTTAATTTAAATAATCCTTTATGTGTGTTAATTGTCAGATACTTGGAACACTCTTTGTTGACCAACATTGCAAGTATGCATCTGACAAATCAATTTTAGAGTATATTTTACCCCCATTTATTTTTGAGAAAATGTTCTTGGGTTAGGGAAGCGGGTAACTGTGGTCTTTTAGACAGTTATTTAGGCCTGTCAAAAAATTTGCACATTCTCTAATTCTATTATTTTTCTTTTTAACATACACATTAGGCGATGCCCAATCTGAGTGATCCACTCTCAAAATAACACCTAATTTTTCCAATCTTTCTAGATCTTGGTTAATAGAATCTAATGAAGAAAATGGAACGTTCCTTTTAGGTCTGAAAATTGGTGTAATATTTTCTTTTATTTCAAATTTTACATCTGTTTTCAAACACATACCCAATCCTTCAGAGAAAACTCTGGGAAATTCATCCTTTAAATCGTGCACGAATTTTTCTGTTTATTTTAATTTTTTTCTTTTCCCAGGTGTTCACCTGATTACAAAAAGAGTTTACAAGGCAATTCCCATAAATTAAATAGCACGATCCAATCTATGCTGAAAAGGCAGGAGATGTTCTTTAAATGTATGTAGACTTTTGACATGAAAATCTTATCAAAAAACGAAACATTACACTTAAGTTCACCCTTAGATTTGAGTTTTTTTTTTCCTGAAATACCTCTGGCTCTTTTGTTCGTGTCAGTCAATTTTGGTCAACCTATTTTCCTCCATGTCTGTTTGTCAATTATTCCATTACATCAGAATGCCTGTCTGAAACTCTTCAAATGTTCTTTGAATAATTTTTATGCTAAAATTTGTCTTTTATTTTCTACACAACAATTATGTCAATATTGTAACTTTACCACTACAGGATGATTAAAATAAAATAAAACATGCAAATTAAAACCATGTTGACTTTTTTTATTGTAAAGAAAATGGTTTTCAAATAATTTTACACAATCAAAATAAGGAGAATGACCTTTACAATCTTTAAATTCAATACTGAAACGTATATTTTTTACTTTAACATAGCAACAAATGTAAAACTTTATAAAATAAAGTTTATTCTAAGGTAACAATCGAATCTTGTTTATTTCTTTTTTAATGTAATTGCAATATAAAAAAAATCTGTTAATATAGTAACTTTATGGAATAATCATTAAAATAAAAACGGATTTTTAATCTATTTATTGTTTGTTCTTTATTTATTTAAAAATGTAAGGTAGATATCGAACTCTGTTTGCTTTTCTTAGTCTAATATGAAAAATTATTCTGTCAATTTCAATTGTCAGTATCCTAACTTTACGGAATAAAATGTTTTTACTGTTTTTTTTCTTTTTTCTTTATTTTATAAATTAATACTGAATAAAGTCCTAAGATAAAATTAAAACTCTGTTGTCTTTTTTAAAATTGTAATTTAAAAGTATTTAAAAAAAAGCCTACAATCATTTATTTAGCTTCGCGTTTAATCGAATAGGCCTTTTCTCTCGGCGGTGTTGCTACAACTCGAAGCTTTCATTTTTGAAAAAGTTACTTCCCTTGTATTTTACTGATTCTCTCCCCTTAATTCTGTCAATGAAATATGTCCATTCCTAGCAGATAAATCGGAATTTCTACTCAGCCTTTCAAATGACAAGAGGACCAAACTTTGTTTTTATTCCATGAATAAATATCACTTTCTTGAAACTTAAACAATTTTTGTTGTTAATGTGAATAAAAAGGAATAGAAATTCAAATTTACAAAAATATTTATTTTCAGGTTTTACATTTATAACATAACTAAAAACTTACATTAGACACAAAGAAAATAATAGATATATAAACACCAGGGGTAGCTGAAAAGTTCTTAGCTTGACTCACCTCCCAAAATCTGAGAAAATAACTCTCAGAATAATTTTTTTGTGTGAAGAGTTTCTTGGTAGGGCAAAGAACTTTTCAACCTCCATAACACAAAAAAATAAGAACATGCTTAATGCTAGATAAAAAAAAAGATCAAGCTAAAATAAAGTATAGCAACTTACTGGCTATCATCTTTAGATATGTAGGAGCTATTATAACATATTTTAATATTAAATAGTATTTTTCTTATTTTTTAGGTTTTTTAAATGGTTTATGTTAAAGTGTAAACTTTTTTTTTATACCTGCTGGTATAAAAAAATAAATTATAATAGTTCCTGTCCAGGAAATTACTATAATTTATCTTAGTTGGTTCCTATATATCACCATTGCAGTCTAGTTAAGTGTAACCATTAATTTTAATTTCAGCATCCAAACAGAAAAATGAGACACTTAATTTTAAAATGGTAAAAGTGTTTTTAAGAATGAAAGTTCAAATATGATGGAAGGAAAAAAATGTATATATTTCTCACCTGTTCATAAACTGTCCAAGCCATAGCAGCCATTAAACATCTACGGAGAGCTCGAGGCACAAACCCTCGTTGGAAACCAACCAATCCATCTCGCTTAAGAAAAAAAAGAAAACTTATTGTATTGTGAAGCAAAGATAACTAAATAATATTCTTTACTGATGATTTTGCTTAGTCTTTTATCATAGAAATAGCACAATGAAATTCATAGTAATTTCAGGAAATATTTTTATTATTAAAGTAAAAAAAATAACTGCTTGTGACATAACATTCTTCTCAACTCTATTCCTTTAAATTTAGACTAACATTTACGTTTATTTTAATTTTTAGTTACTCTTTATTACTTTTACTCAGGCTGTCAACCTACATTCTCAATGGGGGTGATATCTCCCCTCCAGAGGGCGATTGTTTCTCGTGGTGGGGAGGATAAGTTTTCACAAACAATTTCTTTTTCATCGTAAGTGGAAACATTCATAAATAAGAATTGAGAGTTTATGTTTTAATAAATGTTTCTAAATTTATGCTTTCTCATCTGTTTATGAAATTAAGTCCTTAACCCTTTAAGGACAAAATAAATATTTTTAATGATAGCTCATCATACTGCGACTGGTAGAAATACTTTTTTGTTAAACAGTTACACATCTCTAAATGTTTCATTTGAAAGTAGATTTTGAAACATTTCATTCAGTATCTGGTAGCAAGTTTCGTCTGCTATCACTCACTGACTTGCACTGCAGTATTTGAACAGTAATCATGAGAAGTGGATGATGCTCAACTTTTATATTGGGATAATCACAGTGATAATAGTAATAATTAGATCAAGTGTTAGTAACAATAACTGAGTTGAAAATATGGTTTCTGTGTTATATTTTTCAAGAGGAGACAACTCGGTACAAGGACAACCCAGCATTGGCACAACTGGCTGCCAGGACAACTTGTTTGAATTTTGAAATTTGTATTTTGGGGGTTTTAACATGATTAAATTAATAAATTACTTTAATTTTTATAAAAAAAAAAATATCAAGCAAAATTATGAAAGTAGTGTTTTTACTCTTTTTATTTATATAAATTTTAAAAATTAAAAAAAATATTTATAATCATTTTATTTGTATTAATTTTAAAATAAAAAATAAAAAATTATAATCATTATATTTATATTGATTTTAAAAATTAAAAAAATAATTATAATCATTTTATTTATATTTTAGAATTAAAAAAATTGAAAACAATTAATTTCTCCTGATAGCAAGTTGTCTTGGTGCCTATATTTTTAGTCTTTTTTCCATTAATCTTGAGTACCAAAAACATAAATGTATACAGTATGTAGAGGAGTATTTGGCTTATGGCTTTGTAGAAAGTCTGTTTAATCAAAGGCAACCTATGTGCCTTATTTGCAAGAGCTCATTTTCAATGAAAACAATGAAACCATCAAGGTTTTTAGAGCATTTAAAAAGAAAACATACTGACAATGTGAACAAACCCATTGCTTTAACTTTAACCAACAAAATACTCTTTCATCTTATTTGAAGAAAACTATAGAAACAAATGAAAGTAGCTTAATTGCATCTTATGAGATAGCACAAGTAATTGAAAGTGCACACGCAGTTTTTGAAAATATTATTAAGCTTTCCTTTGAAATTCTCATTAAAACTGTTTTGCAGCAAAATTTGGCAAATGTCTTAAAAGCATTGACACTGAGCAATGATTCAGTCTGGAGAGAAATTGATGAAGTGTCAGCAGATGTGCAAAGCCAACTAGTTGGAAAATTAAAAAGCACTAAATTCTCAATTCAGATTGATGAATCTATGGTAAGTGATAATAGAGCTATTCTTATGGCATATGTTCATTACATAGATGATTACTGCAAATTGTGTGAAGAGTTGTTGTCCGTGAAACTTTTAGAAATTGATACCATTGGATTATCGAATTTTGATGCAGCAGAATCATGGTTTGATGGAAATCAAGTGCACTTTGAAAACTTGATATCCTGTGTAACAGATAGTTCTCCATCTATGTTTGGTAAGCAAAGGGATTTATTAGGCAAAAAAAAAAAAAAATATATATGTCCTTGTATTCTTGCTGTGCATTGTGTGGCACATCATCATCATCATTTAGTTGCCAAAAATATTAGCCCTGATCTTCATGATTCATTGAAAGTAGTTATTAAAACAGTAAAATAAAATCTAACAGTAAATATGACAGACTTTTTCAAAAGTTTTGTATTGATACCAAAGAACAGCATATAAAACTTATTATCCATACAGAAGTTCGTTGGCTTTCAAAAGGAAACTGCCTGACCAGATTTGTAAACCTATTTACTATAATAGTTAATTTCTTGGAAAATGTGGGTGAGAAAAATTTGACAAAGGAAATCAGGCATCACAAATGTGACATTTTCTGTTTAGCATGGATTTTTTGAAAGTTCAATGACATTTCACTCCAGATTCAAGGTAAATTATGCACATTGCTATAATGCAAACATGTACTGAAAGCCTTTTCTGATAAATTAGACTTATTTTGTGTTAATATACAGAAGAATAATTTCAATAACATGCTCAATTTAAAAAGAAGTAAGTGGACACTTCTCAAAATCAAACAAGTAAAAAGGATGCAGAATATTTAACAAAATTGAAAGAAGAACTAAGTAGCTGATTTTCAGATTTATTTTTGTCAGAGGTTTTCGCCCATGAATGATGGATCCTTTCAGTTGTGACATAGAAGCAGTCAGTGAAAATATGCAGGAAGAACTTATTGAATTGAAACACAATGATGTATGCATGTACAAATCTGAAAGTGATGGAATAACAGAATTATGGCTGTCAAATACGAAATAGCTGTATTCGAACATGTTATGGAATCCTCCACATTTGCCTGTCACCCCCTACGGGAAGATGCACTCTTCTCCAAATAAACCTTTAACCAATCATCACTTTACTTTTCCAAACTCAATCCCCCATTGGTTAAACGGACACTAAAATGTAGCAAAGTTGAGACAAACCTTTTTCCCGCGCAGGTCTCTGGAGCCTATTTGGAAACTCGAAAATCTATAAAAAGAATCGCTCGACTTAATTCAAGTCAGTCAGACACTGAGTTTTGAGAGATACCAGCAGACCCCACACGTGCCTACAATAACCACTAACAACCTCTCAACAACTTAACACAATTCGCACAACTATTGCCACGTGAAGAAACTTACAATTTACTAAAAAGTGACATTATCACTACAAAACAGTAATTGTACATTCAATCAACATTAGCCTATCAGTTAAAGGTGAACAACTCTTCATAACTTAAATCAACACTAGCAGTTGTCACACACATACACACTATCACTTGAACTTACACAATTGACAATTTTCCTTGCGGATATCAAACTATTTTAATTCCACAAACAAACTTAAACTATCAACCTTTACTCACTAAATTTCTGCATGGACAATCTTTGTAACCTTATCTCACTTGCCACATTTAACGAGCAACTTATTATCACTTTGTGTATGTCAAATATATATATATATAAATTCACGTTATTGTTAAAATCTCTAATGACGTTTTTAGTAATTTCTTGAAAGCAATATAAAATATATTCGCCAATCTTTGTCATTATTACTAGGCAACAGTTTTCTTTTCAAATCATAAAGCCTGGATAAAACAAAAGCTGACTGACATATTGTTATCCTGTGTCTATTACTTTGTGGAGTTCAGTCACTCTTAGAGTAATTCCAGCTTCAGATTACTACTGTATTTTCTAAGATGTCTGTTGAATATGATTTTTGCTGTCTCCCCTAGTCCCATGTTCTGTTCTCACATCGATACATGTGTGGGCAAGTTCACCTCGTTGCTTAGGGTATAGCACATATCAATCAAAAATATTATGATAAAAACAGCAAAGATGGAGATTATAATATATGGAATAAGGAAAACTCTTGATCTCAGAACTTCAGACAATAAAGTAAGGCCAAAGAATGTGTCAGCCAAAAACATTCTGCTAAAAACAACAAAGGTGAGGATTATAGTCTAAATCATATATGGAATAATGAAAAGTCTTGATCTTAGAAATTCAGACAATACAGGGAGACCAAAAATAGCAGGCTACAACTAAAAAAAGAAAAAAGCTAGTAAACTGAATAATAAAAAGAACATTAAAAGGTGTAACTAATTCTATCTCAGAATGCCCAGGGATCAGTCAGATACTAAACTAAGTCAAGATATGAAAGCATAATTGTTAAGGATGCAGAATAATATAATAGATTAGCTCAGTTATCTTCAATTTTTATTTGTAATTCCAAGTAAGTAATCATTAATTACCGTTATGTAAATTATTATTATAATTTAACAATTATTGAACTTTGATTTTCATTTTGAGAAAGTAAATAAAGAAAGCTAATTTGTAATTCAGATTTGAACTGAAAGTTAATTTTCTTTTTGCTCAAATTTGTTGCACTTTGTGAAAGTCCAATTCCAGTTTTGGAATCAATTTAATTCCTTAAGAAAAAAATGTGTATTCTTTGAAAGATTTTGATAATAAAAACATTGTTGCTGGATTTACTTGATCTTTCCCCAGTTATTTACCTGGTAAATAAAAGTGATGACATCTTTCAGATTGGTGTGCTTTTGTGGATTTAACTGCATGTGAGTTTTCATTACATCGGCAGGCTGTGTGATGAACGAGGCTAACAAACCAGCAATGATGCCAATATTAAAGTGTATCACTGGTATGTAATGCTCGTCAATTTTATCTGAAAGAAAAAAAAAAAAGTCAACGTTTTATATGAGCATGAATAAAATGAAGTTCAAACATGCAGTCAAAGTAATTTTGTACAAAATATTTTCCTTTTTAATCTAGAGTATAAAAAAAAAAACTTTAAAAGGTAAGTTAAAACTAATTTGTTTCCCTAACAGCTGTGAGTTCAATCCCAGTATATGGTAGTGCTGAAAAGTCATATACAAGAGTCCAATGGAAGAAATGGACAAGTGACACAAAAACTGAATAAAACTGGTAAGTATCAACTGATATAAAATTTCCTCTAAGCTCAGAATGATTGCCCCAGTGAATGAGTTCAGTACAAAATTCCAAAAACACTAGACATGTGAAGAAGGTCAGAGGGTAGAAAGAGCAAAACATTCAGCATGCTGGTCTGAAAAATAATGATAATTCCTTGTCTCAGAAATTCCAACACTTTGTTTTTATAAAGATTTTAGGACAAGGGTGTGTACAAATGGCAATAATTAAAAAACAAAAAAAACAAAGATGCACTGCTTTGTATTAAGGGGGGGGTGTCAATGGTAATGTGGAGCTTAGCCTTTTCCATACAGCAAACATTAAATGTCCAAAACAGTTGGTGTTAATATCAGTTGAAATTTATAAAATCTTTCTTTTAAAACAATTTTTCAGGAACATAGCTTTACCAAGTTATCGCTTTTTCTAATGTTAATAGAAGTTTCCTTTACTAACGTTCACTCAATACAAGGCCTAAGAGCTACTTAAGGCAGAGGGTTACTATGTGGAGTTGTATTATTATAGGAAAGGACAAGCATAAGGAGTATAGGGTTGAAGTAGACTTTAGAAGGAACCAGAAACCTCATCCTAAACAGGAAACAAGCGATAAACCTCTTGTTTCCCATTTGAAAGTGTGTTGTTTATATCATTTTCATTCTAGTTGCATGTGCTATTCATTTTTAATTGTTGGTGCTGTTGGAATTTTTTTAAGTGATGTTATTTGGTAAAAGTTCTTTGTGATTCTGTAGAAACAGTTTTTAAGATCTGATGAAGGATTATCTTCTTAAAGACATAGAAGAATTAATTTGCCTTGAAGCCATCTTTAATAATTGATCCGACCCCCCCCCCACCAAAAAAAAACAGTTGTCTACAGCTGACAGTTTAAACATTACTGAATGAATTAGATGCCATACATGACATCCATACTAAGTGTAAATCTGACATAACTATCTAAGAATATGGCTTGAGTTCTTGTATTAATATTTTGATTTTGAAGCATCTTACAGTGTTAGACCGAACTACCCCCTCATGCAGCCGCTTCTAGGTTCAGTTTCAAATAAAAGATAGACAACAAGTAAATATTCGGTTAGCCATCAAAATAAAAAATTGAAATAGAGAAATGGTTGCTATATTCCTTTTACTATCTGATATTGAATCATAACCTAAGCCAAAGAATTTGACAAGTTTTTCTGTAATAACACTATAAAAAAAACTAAGAGAAGAAGAAGCATTCATATATTGCCACAATGACAATTCAAGGAAGTATGGTGTCATGCCTTTAAACTTACCATAAGGCAAAAATGATTTAATTTGTGTGTAGAACATAAAGTAAAGAGCAGAAAAAGGAACATCACGAGCAATGGTTGGTGCCAAGCCACTGAATAATCCTGTAATAAAGGAATAAACAGCAAAGAAAATTAAAACAAATGGAAAACAAAAAAAAAATAATGAAAATAAAAATATAATTACTTTAAACTTTTGATAACAATTAAAAAAGTACCTTGTTTTTCTGAATTAAAGCAGTTAAGGTAGAAATCAGAATTAAGTAATTAAAATTAAATCTACAGTGTAATCCGGATATAAGAGAGATTTTCTATGGTCCCAAATTAGAGCCCATACTTACCTAAACAAAATAGACCAAACCCTGATATAAGAGAAACCCGGATATAAGAGACTTCTTCTCCGGTCCCGACAACTCTCTTATATCCGGGTTACACTGCATTATCAATTCAAATATACTATCTTGCACAAAATTTTATTAATGTGTGTGTATATATATATATATATATATATATATATATATATATATATATATATATATATATATATATATATATATTTGTGTATTTAAGCAGCAATCCTTCTTTCATGCACATTTCATTGAATATAACAGACAAGGTGCTTTTATTTAGTGTCTTGTACAATTAATCATGCGATCTAATAATTTTTTTTTTCAGATGATAAATTATATAAAAACTGTCCGAATGTTCTTTTTATCCGAGAGCTTTTGGCTATACATTTAGCCATTTTCAAGGAATAAATATTTCAACTGTTAAATAAGAAATAGTTTGTTGTATGTATGTTTTATAAAATGTAACATACTTGTTGACAACACTAATATAATAGCATCATCTACATGCAAAAAAAGGCTAAAAATAATGGAAGCCTTATTAATAAAGACAAACAAACCAACACTTAATAATATTAACATTGAACATGGATATAATATCTTGACCATGTTTGGAAAAATGAAAACATTTTATAAAACATACATACAACAAACTATTTTTTACTTTAACAGTTAAAATATTTAATCCTTGAAAATGGCTAAATGTATAGCCAAAAGCGCTTTGATAAAAAGAACATTGGGACAGTTTTTATATAATTTATCATCCGAAAAGAAAAAAAATTATTAGATCGCATGAGACATTGTATTAAAAACTAAATAAAAGTACTTTGTCTGTCGTATTCAATGAAATGTGCATATATATATATATATATATATAGTATAGTTGGCCACTCGTATTTAAGGATACTCATCTACTGGGGCGTCTAGCCAATCCCTATTGCAGATGCTTGCTTAGACACATTTGTGTTTATTCAATACCCACAGATTCCACCTGTGGTTTATACTGAAACTATGCTAGGAAAGAGTGTGTTATCTCATGTGATCAACAATTTGAACAAGGCTAGCACACTCAAGCCCCTGACCATGATGACTTGTGATTTTGTGATAGCACAGCTATCGACGACCCCCAAGGGTTCCATTCACCCAATTTCACTCACAAAGATTGGATCAACTTGTGGCACTTTTCAAAGGTACACACGCTGGGATCTACCCACTCCCCAGTTCAATAACATTAAGAAATATCCTTCCTGACAAATCGACCATGGTGAGATTCAAACCCAGGTCTTATGGTCAGAATGCGAACATTCTAACAACACGGCCACAATATATATATATATATATATATATATATATATATATATATATATATATATATATATTTAGAACAATAGAAATTTTATTACAGTGGATACTTCATATTTGAGATAGACACCCTATTATTATTTATTAAACATTGACCATCATATTCAAGAAATCTTATATATATTGAGAGAGAGATAAAGAGAGATCAAGGCAAATCAATATATTGATATACAGAGGTAGGTATTACTCCCATTACAATAAATGGTTACACTCTCAATGAGGTGCCATGCTTTGAACATCTCTTGGGATTTAAGTTCTTCACAGACCTCAGGTTGAATTCTATGTACAATCTATCTTTAAAGATGCTGGGAAAATGGTCAGCTCTTTGAATTTATTTGTGTTCTTGATACAACATTTGTGGTAAGAAAATAGGATACGTGGGAGAAAAAGGTGTGTATTGAAAATAAATGATTTTCTTTTTCCGCCACTTACCAGCTTTGCCTTCAGTCGAGTAAATCAAGAATAAACTTCGAGGAATGCTATTGTAATTGTAGATGCCACTCTGCCAATAAAACAAATTAGTGTTACTAATCATAAAACATCACAATGAAAAAACATAAAATACATTCATGATCCCATAAAGTCCTAGAATTTATCAATATTACAAAAAAAAAAAAAAAATATTGCAATGAAAGAAAGAAAATTATTCTTAGCTGGAAATTTACCTTTGGTTATGATCACCCATATTCATTGCTTTTAACTACCATAAGCAAAAACAATAATCAAAGAAATTTTTCAAACAATGACTTTTTTACTGCTTCTTTTACTATTATTATAATACTAACAGTAGAGCCCGGTGTTGACTGGGGATGTAACAGTAAGAGATATATCAAGTATCAACCATCATAAAGACTGAAAAATAAAATTGACAAAGATTATTGTTTAAGGTTGATGGACACACATGTCTTAATTAGTTTTTTTTTTGTTTTCTTTCTTTTTTTCTTTTTTTTTACGAATTGGTCAAACCCAAACTCAAACAAAAACATTGTTTTCAATTGTTATGAGTCTACCGATTGAATAGAATTTTATTATAAACAATTGTTTTGTAAATGGAATTTTTAAAGTATTCTGAATGTAAAAATAAAGAAAAAAGTGTGCAAGACAATAAGAAACACCACCTGCCAAAAAAAAAAAAAAAAAAACTGAAATTTTATTGAAATCGGTTGAAAAATGTAGGAAATCCAACCCCATATAATAAACAAACACACACACACACACACACAAACAACCTGGGTTTTATAATAAGTATAACTCGATATGAGTTGTCCCCTTTCATTCTTGCGATGCCTCTTAATAGTGTTTTCAAATTGATTTCATGCAAAAACAATTGTGTTTTTTCAATTTTTGGCGCTATCAGAACCACAAAGGTAATTTTACGTAGTCCTGTGAAGTTTTGTTGAAATTGGTTGAAAAATAGGAAACCCAATCCAATATATAAACGTACAGACACACACACACACACACACACACACACACAGCCTGGGTTTTATAATAAGTATGATTATATATAATATAATATAATAATATTTTAATATTTTAGTTTAAAGACTATTCATTAGATATCATATTTATCTTAAGATAGCCAGGGAATTGATCAGCTGAAATGCTGAGGTAAAAACAATAAAGAAAATTACAAATCTGAAAAAGTCACTGAATTAAAACAATACAATATTTCCTCCCAGAATTTCAAGTCAAAATATATTTGTACTTAAAAAAAAAAAAAAAATAATTACCTCAAAAGGAAAAATTATAACAAATAGTAAGGAATCTAAGTGACAAATTATAAGTAATTACAACAAATTATTATAAGTAATTACAACAAATTATTATAAGTAATTACAACAAATTATTATAAGTAATTATAAGTGTCTTACAACCAACAGAAGAAAAGATTAAAGAAAAATTTGATTGACACAAACAGAAATTGAGAGAAACTTACTTCATATCTTGTTTTAAGAACACTTATTGGGTGCATAATGGTAGCAGCAGTACCTCGTGCTGTAGCACCGATAAGCAGAGATTCTAAAGGGTTAGTATTACCAGACCTGAAATGAAGACAGTAGTCCATTAGTTTGAGTAGGAAGTAGCAATCTTTTTTTTTCTTTTTACTTTTGAAAAAGGTTAATCAAAGATCTGGGAAAAGGAGTTATTGCTCTTACACTCTTAGGATAATTCAACTGTCACTCGGTGACTTTTTGTTTTGTTTTTTTTTTTTAAATTGAAGAACCGTCTATGAAAATCATTTTAGGAATGGTGATTACCATATTTGAAGGCATCTAAGCTCCACACCCACACGTTTTGAGATGAGATATTATGATTACTTGCATTATTTACATTATTCAGACTGTTATCCTCATCTTCATTGTTATATTCACAAGGACACATGGCCCAGTGGATAAAGATGTTGGTTAGATCCAGTGACTAGCTTCTAGTGATATAATGGCTGTCTATATCTCTGAGATGAGGTATTATGAATACTTGCATTATTTATATTATTCATACTGTTATCCTCATGTTCACTGCCATATTAATAATGTTTTGGCTGTTGTACACTCTGGCCTTCTTCAGGTGATTGGAATTTAAAACTGAACCCTTTACTTCATCCATCAACTAGATTGATCTAGTTCCACGTGCTATGTCTCTTCTGGATGTCTCAGTTATTTCCCTTTAACTCAACTCTTTTGGTTCACCACTGCTGTGGACTGGTATTGAATTCACAATTTGGGTCTAGTCACTTGATCTAACCAACGTCTTTATCCACTGTGCCATGTGTCCTTGAAGAAGGCCGGAGCATACAACGGCCAAAACGTTATAAATATAGCAATGAGGATAACAGTCTGAATAATGTAAATAATGCAAGTAATTTTATAATTATTTTCTACCAAGATAAAAAAGGCCTTAAGTGACTTTTCTTTAAAGACCATCATATAAAATAAAATCTTAAAGAGCAAATTGAAATATTGTGTTCAAAACAAGACAATAATCTGAAGAATAAACAGAATTGTTTAAGTTTTTCATTTATATTCCTTCATTTTATGTGGTTTGATGGCTTAGTGACTATTATTTCCAGACAGGGATCATATGTTAAATTTGTCTTTTATTCTCATTCTAAATAAAACATTTCCTAACTAAAAGAAGCTATTATCAACTACCACTTTGCTAAGAGAGGTTTGGATTGTGAAAGACAGAGAACTTGAATTAATATTTGTCCTCATATTCATATTTTTGGTTCACTGTTTTCATACAATTGTTAGAACACAAGAAGTGACAAACAAAACATAAGTACCCAAAATGTGTCTTCAATGTGTGCACAAGTGAGAAATAAATGCCCACACCAGGTACACATCGTGTGATTGTCTGGAAATAAAAAATAAAATAAAAATTCAGTATTTGGATAAAGAAAGGTTTAATCATCTATTACATTTATAAAGATATTTTACAGGAAAATTGTATTGACTAATCACAAATATGCTTTGCATAAGTTTCAACACTCAATCTCAAGGAAAAATAGAAAATCAAGAAGAAAAGTTAAAGGTCAGGAATTAAAGCAAGATTTATTAACAGAACAAGACTATCATATGTAAAATGTCAATGCATTACTAATGATCTTACAGTTAAGATTTAGTTTAGTGAATGTATATTTTTTTTTTTAAATATATTTTTCATGTGTAGTTCAAGTTGCTTTGTCAAAATAGGACTAATTTCATCCAGAAGTTTGGCATTTTTGAGAAAGATTTGTAATTTAATATGGCTGTATTCATGGCATCCCTCTAATATAATAAATAATAATAATAATAATAATATAGCTAGTCACTCGTCTTCAAGGTATACCTGTCTACTAGGGCAGCTAGCCAATCCCTATTGCAGACTCAGGCACATTTGTTTGTTCAATGACCACAGAGCCCACCTGTGGTTTATACTGCAACTATGCTGAGCAGACCTTAGTTACAGTTTCTGGAAAAGAGTGTGTTATCTAACATGATCAACAATTTGAACAAGCCCAGCACACTCAAACCCTCAGTCATGATGACTTGTGGCTTTGTGCTAGCACAGCTATCAATGGCCCCCAAATGTTCCATCTACCCAATTTCATTTACAAGGCTTAGGTAACCCTGTGTTACAGTTTTCAGACACTTTCCAAAAGGTGCCACATGCTGGGATCGTCCCCACCCAGACCAATAACATCAGGTAGTCTCCTTCCTGACTGATCAACTGTGGGTGAGATTCGAACCTGGGTCTCATGGTCAGAAAACAAACATTCTAACCACTTGGCCACAGCATCCCTCTACTGCCCATACAAATGACTTTGCCAAGTACAAGACAGTTCCTCAGTTCGCTTGTGAACTTTCTGGAGTAGTAAGTGTGTTAGTTCAAAGGTCATGTCCCAAATTGACAACAGTCAGGTGTTTTGTTGCAACTGTAGGTTCAATCCTGATGGTTTGAAGCCTGTGTTTCCAGTGGTTTGCACAAACTTTTAAAAATAAATACTTGTATGTACAGCATAAAGAAATTCTGAATGAAACCTTTCTAAACAGAGATACAAAGGACAATTGATGAATTCAGTGTTTATCAAACCTTTGCAAACAAAAAATAAAATTTGATTGGAAAAACTTTCTATATAGCAATTTACCAAGTGTAGGTTAGTTGTAACAAAAAAGCCACAAGTATGGAACACTCAGCTGTAACTGATTTAGTGAAATATGTCTGCTAACTATTACACCACATCGAAATGCCAAACATTTTACCAATATAGTGATTTACTAAGCTTAGCTTAAATGTGGCACAAAGCAGAAAGTATAGAGTGCAAATTTCTTTATTCTGATTTTCTTATGGCAGTAAGTTTTACAGTTACTGCATGGGTGGGTAATTCTGGGAGAGTGATTTCACAATCATCTGCTTTCTTCTGTCAAGCATTTTGATAAGACATTTTGTGAAGATGTCTAGCAATAATAGAGCATAGGGATAAGCAGATTCATGCCTTTCTCAAGGGAATCAGTACAAATTGAACATAAACAACATCAGCTGAAATTCAAGCTATTTTGACAATTCCATTTTCCTTACAGATATATATATATATATATATATATATATATATATATATATATATATATATATTATGCCAATCCAACCATTTGGCAATATTTCAGTTACAAATTTGTATAAAATCTTTCACATGTGTATATTGGATAAATGTGCCCATATATGAAATTTTTCAAAAAATTTACTTACTGGTACAACACCACGCCATAATCCTGTGATGTTTTCCTGTTTCAGGACATTGATAACAACAGAAACAATTCCCGTATGTCCTTTCCTAAAAAAACAATAGGGTCAGATTATGTAATAAAACAAAAACAACAAAAAATACAATGAAAAAAATTCTATGTAGGGTGTGGAAAAGTTCTCAGCCTGACTCACCTAGATTCAAAAGAAAAAAATTACGCTATTTATTTATTATATTGTTTATTGGAATGGTTGACAAAACATCAGCTAGTAGCCAATCGATTCAAGCTTTATAAAATGGGGAAATAATAAGGATTTCCTTATATTGATTTGTCCGGAAAGTTCATGCCAATTTTTAGTCGTTTTATGTTCCAACACATTAGAACATGTTAAATTTATCAACAAATGCTTACATTTCCGATTAGAGAACACTTTAAACTATCTCTTGAGAAAGAAAGTTTAAAATTAATTCATTCTTGTCAATTTTGTATCCCTATGAAAATGGAAGATTATAAGGTACATTTTAGACACTTGATGCATTGTTTTTTTTACGGTAAATGTCTCGCAAGCAACAAAAAAGCTATGTGCTATGTACAGTGAAGGTGCTTTAGCTGACAGAATTGTATGGAAGTGGTGCACTAAGTTTAGAGTTAGTGATTGTAGCCTTATTGATGAAGAAAGTTCAGGCAGACTCCCTCTCCCACTACAGATGATGACCAAATAAAGACACTGATTGAAAATAACCTGTATTACACAATGCTGGAATTGGCAGAAACTCTTAATTTATCAAAATTCACCATCCATGAGCACTTAGTGAAGCTTGGGTACTCAAATCATTACAATGTTTGGGTACCACATGATCCGAGTGAAAAGGATCTTTCAGATCACATTTCATTTGTGATTTGCTGTATAAACACAATGAAACTGCACCTTTTTTTTTTTAAGCAAATTATGATGGGTGATTTATAACAATGTTCAGTGAAAAAGATCCTGGGGTAAGCGACATGAGCCAACTTTAGCTACCTCAAAAGCGGATATTCATCCTAAGAAAGTCATACTGTGTATCTGGTGGGATTGGAAAGAAAACCTCTACTATGAGCTTCTACCAAGTAACCAGTCAATTGATTCTGAAAAGTACTGCTCGCCACTGGAAGAATTAAAAGCAGCAATTCAAGAAAAATGCCCAGAATTGGCAAACAGAGAAGGTGTTGTTTTCCATCAGGATAATGCCAGATACCACATTTCTTTGGCGACCTGGCAAAAATTGTTGCAGCTTGGCTGGGATGTCTTACCCCACCCACCATATTCACCAGACATTGCTCTTTCAGATTTTCATTTTTTCAGGTCCTTGCAAAATAATCTTAATGATAAAAATTCTAATTCTTTGGATGACATAAAAGACTCCTTTAAAGAGTTCTTTGCCAAGAAACCACTAGAATTCTGGGAAACTGGAATCTTTAAGTTGAAAGAAAAATGGAAGAATGTTGTGCAACAAAATGGTTCATATTTAGTTGAATAAATATTTAATGGAATTTCACATTTTAATAATTTAGTAAATGTTTATAAATTTATGAATAAAAAATTGTTTTCACATTTATTTCTTTATAAATTAGTAAATGATAAATATTGCATTACATTAGTTTTAATTGTATTAGCTTTTAGAATGTTGTAAATATAAAATTATTCTTGTAAATAAACAATCTAATAAATAAATAGTGTTTAATATTTTAGTTGTAAATTCTCAAGAACAAAAAAATATATAAATTCACTTTCATCATATGTTTAGGCTTTATTAGAATTCTAATCATCGCCTTTTAAAACAACTGTCAAGGAGTGAAGGTAGTTAAAATAATAGCGGTGTCAAGGGAAAAATCATCCTTTTGACACTCCGTTATTTTGTGGACACGAAAATCAAAGTTTGCTATAAAAATTCTTTGCTCAGATTTTGGAAAATGATTTAAGCCAAGAACTTTTCAGCACCATCTTTGTAACAACAAATAAAACAATAGTTATGATAAAGTAAAGCTTAAACGTTAGAAAAGCATTAATAGTTGCAGGAAATCCCAGTAGATATTAAATTACTGTATATATTTGTGTAACACGCCATCTTGTGTATTGTGCAACCCCCAAATTTTCACTTATAAAAATGATTTTATCATGTATCCCGTATATCATGCAAGTCTCTTTGAGAGACCAAATTACAATAGACTAACCTCTTTTCCTCTATCTCTTTATCCCATCATCTAGTTAAATATGTTAAAAAGTAAAAGAAAAGAGGACTCTTAGGCTAGTTTATAAAACGCGCACTGCAATTTTGAATTTTGGGTACAAAAGGAAAATCAGAGTTACTCCTCTTGAACCATGAAAGCAACAATAATGGCTATTATAATATATTAATATATATTTTTAACCTCGCATAATCTGGCAACCTTGAATCTGAGCTCAACGAAAATCATTCCCTGTGCCTAGCTTTTTTTTAGGGCTTTTGAATGAGCTATGAATCATTGAAATCAGACCAGTGGGAGTGGAGGAGTTGCTTGGACATGCACAAACACATATACACTGTACTTTATATATAAGATGTATGATGCCACCCCCTTAAAATTAGCTTAAAAATTAGGTTTTCAAAGTTGAATGATACGTGAGTATATATGGTAAATCAAGTATTGCTGCCAGATCTCGACTGGAGCTACCCAGTCCTCAATTGCTTGTCTGGATAGAGTTCAAAAGCGTCTACACGGCCTTGTGGGTGATGAATTATTTTTCACCCTACAACCGCATTCCTACATATGAAATATCACAAATCTCTTGCTACTCTATTTCTATTTTCATGGCATGTGTTCTAGCAAGCTACATTCCTTGGTTCCACAAGCCCTGACCTTTGCAGCTAAGACCCTAACCCTGCTACACACACTGGAACAAATCATCCCCATTCCCTTCATATTCCATTAGTCAGGAGAAAGTTCCACTTGGACAGATTCTTCTCTAGAACTGCTGCTTTATGGAACAGATTCCCAAGTGGATATTTTCCCAACCACTTCAATCTTCACCTTTTCAAGGCTAAAGTTAATGGTTATCTATCCTGCATAAACTGCACTTCTTACCTACTCTTCTTACACTGATACGTCATTCATAAACTCAAGCCACTTAAGGTAGAGACTATGAGTGGCTCATGAGCCTTTATTGGGTGAACATTAGTGTAAAGAAAGAAAAAAAAAAAAGGTCCCTAAATGCAAAAAATTGTGTCTGAATGCATTAAATACTTTCAGATATTTGAACAGACAGAAATGAAAAGAAGAAAATAGATAAGATAGAGAATTACAAAACATTGAAATGAGGATATCTTATAAGATAGATAAAAGCACATCCATTCTTAGATTTGGTAAATAAATCGACTGCGTAATGATACACATTCTGAACACGTCACAGCTTTAAAATATTGCTTTGAAACTTATCTGAAAAATGGACAGTAATTGATTTGTTGAAGAAATTTGATAAAAGATGGCATCCAATCAGGTTAAAAGGTCAATCTTCAAGTTTTTCTCATTGTTGAATTTAAAAATAAATAAAGGGGAAAAGAAGGGCATGTTTATTTTAGAAAATAAATTTACAGTAGTTAAATAAAAACTTCACAATTTGGAATTAATTTTTGTTTGGACTTTGAGGTATTCAATATTTTTGACCAATTATCGTCATTTCAATGTTTTGTAATCCTCTTCCATCATTTCAGGCAGCCAATTTTCCAGCCTTCCTCAGGTGGATGCATTATTCACAGTATAGTCTTATTTAATATTTGATTGTCAAGAAATCATTTCAGATTAATATCCCTGGCGTCTTTTGACATTTATATCTAGGTTTTATTTTCAAGTTGCATTTCATGACAAATTACGTAACAAATACATTTTAAACTGGTTAATTCTTATTTAGGTTTATTATAAAAAAAGAAAGAGAATGAGATTAAAACTGTATGTAAATGTTAAGTATTTACACTACTTACAAGGACATGTGGCCCAGGGGATAAAAGCATTGGTTGAAGTAATCCAGTGACTTGACCCAAAGAGTTGTGAGTTCAATACCTGGCCACAAGATGAATAAAAACTTGGAGAGTTGACTTACTAAAGGGAAATAACTGAAACTGATATATCTGGAAGAGGCATGATGTGTGGAACTAGAGCAATCTACCCTGGTGGACAAAATAAAAGGTTCAGTTCAAAATTCCAATCACCTGAAGAAAGCCAGAGTGTACAATGGCCAAAATGTTGTGGATATGACAACAAAGATAAGGACAATAGTCTGAACAATGTAAATAGTAAATATCTCCTCTCAGAAAAATAGACAAATGTTATAATTATTTTAGAATACATCATACTTATTATAAAACCCAGGTTGTGTGTTTGTGTCTGTACGTTTATATATTGGATCAGATTTCCTACATTTTTCAACCGATTTCAACAAAACTTCACAGGACTACGTAAAATTACCTTGCAGTGTTTCTGACAGCGCCAAAAATTGGAAAAACACAATTGTTTTAGCACAAAATCAATTTGAAAACATGATTAAGAGGCATTGCTGTCGTGAGAATGAAAGGGGGACAACTCATATCGAGTTATACTTATTATAAAACCCAGGTTTGTTGTGTGTGTGTGTGTCTGTGTTCGTTTATATATGGGATCGGATTTCCTATATTTTTCAACCGATTTCAACAAAACTTCACTTTTTTTTGGCAGGTAGTGTTTCTTATTGTCTTGCACACTTTTTTCTTTATTTTTACATTCAGAATGCTTTAAAAATTCCATTTACAAGACAATTGTTTATAATAAAATTCTATTCAATCGGTAGACTCATAACTATTGAAAACAATGTTTTTGTTTGAGTTTGGGTTGGACCAATTTGTAAAATAAAACAAACAAAAAACAAAATTAAGACATGCATGTCCGTCATCCTTAAACAATAATCTTTGTCAATTTTATTTTTCAGTCTTTATGATGGTCAATACTTGATCTATCTCTTACTGTTACATCCCTGGGCAACGCCGGGCTCTACTGCTAGTCTGTAATAAAATGTCTCATCAAGTTGGCGAACATGAAAAATTTGGTAGAAAGAAAAGAATCCTTGAATATTTATCAAGCTTTATTCAAATTAGTCATGAAAATATTTACACATTTACAAGTCCCACATTCTCTCCACTTATATATCAGAGATTTAAGCATTTACTGAAATGATTGAACATTACAGTTTACCTCACTATAATGATTGTTGCTTTGTGACACATAAAGCCTCTGGTAAATTGTTCCACTGGGTTAAGTGATTTGTCCCATGCCCAACCTCTGCATTTCAAGGAAAGATTGGTTTACTGTCAGAGTTTTCTTAACAATGAGTTCTATCTATTTAGGTTTGGTCGGGGATTCAGTTTTACTTATCATTGGTTGCCACCCAAGGTTGAAGATATTAGTCTGCTCTGCTGATTAACTCATAGCCAGGAGAAAACATGGCTCCCTCCTTTTTCCAAGAGTATTTGTGTGAAATTGAATGTAATTAACTCAATTGGAATTCAAACTTGGTTTGCTAATTTCTTATTCTGAACCACTAACCATTGCAACACTTGCACATCTTTATTATGATGATTGGTATCTGCATATTGTCTGGAAAATCCCCTGGGTAAAATGGTGGAACAATTGTTTCACAAATCCACCCATTCATAGGAATAACTAAAAGATGATGAGATTTTTTTCTTTTGTATAAAATTACAGATTTGATGCATCCTGGGTATGATGATAAACTACACCCACATCCTGGGTAAGACAAACTACATCCAACAGCAAGGCCTCTGATCAGGAGGTTTTGAGGAATGTGGAATCACCACTTAATTGCTGGTGTTCCCAGGTCCACCCTCACCTGGGGTGGTAGCACCTGTTTAGGGTCCCAGCTATGGGCAAATAGTTAACCCCTAAACTGAGGTTAAAACACTATGAAAGTGTAAAAATAGGTTTTAATACTTTTTTGTAAAAATATTACCAGCAATACATTTGGGAAAAGAATATTACTAGCAATAAAAATCTTGTCAGCATTAAATAACCTATTGAGGGTGATATGCCATAAAAAAAACCAAACCAAGCAGATTTGACAATTTTCAAGAGGATTTCAATTAAGAGCCCTCTGACATTGTTAACCTTGAAAACTGACTTTTATAAAATTTAATAACTAAAAAAAAACTATTAAATGCTCAAATTTTTTTTTATACAATGTAAAATATTGGAAATGGATGAAAATGAACAAAAATGTGAAACCATTTTTTTCTGCAATATGGTACCATCCAACAACAAATTTTTGCACATTTTTCTTCAATGGAAAACAAATTTTTTATAAATTGTATCTGTAGAGGACCGTGTGTGTTTGTGTGTTGTTGTATTAGAAATACATACATACATACATATATATATATATATATATATATATATATATATATATATACATACACACACAAATATATGTATTAAACAAAACAATTTTACAATGGACATAGAAAATAATATTTGTTTGTGTGTGTGAACGTTTGTGTCTGTTCTTTGGTGAATGTTCGTACATATGTGTATGTGTGTTTAATGTTCATGGCGTCTCCCATAAAGGGAAAACGCAGATCTTCTAAGAGATCCTACATTGTAGCCGCTGAAATGAAGAAATGAAAAAGAGGATTTACCTCACCTCCATGCAAAGTAGGATGTGGCATGAGGCCTGAAGGAAAGAGAATGAGGCAAGAAGTCGCCCAGTATTTATAGTATAGGGAGAATGACCCCTAGTGACAATTTGGGAATTAAGGAGGAGCTAACTCTGACATATCCATCAATAGAAACACCATAAAGAATGACTGTAATAACCAACGAATTATATTTGACAACATCTCCATATATCTTGGCTTGTAGTCTCCTGTCTTGAAATGTAACCAAAGAATGCAGTATCGTCTTCATATTCAAGGATTCTTTGCATGTAAGAAATACAGGTGGAACCAAATTGGAAATACTGAAAAATGAATCTGCAATGATGATGAGTTGTGGCACTCGGTTAAAAGAATATTAATTCCTTTTTGATTTTTAAATAGGTCAGATGATGATGAACTTTTATTTGAAACAGATATTTACAGATGATTTTTATTTGGCAATGTTGAAAAGATGTTTCAAAAGAATCAGCATAAATTCTCTTTTTCAGCCATATTTCTCCTTCAGATGCTCCTGTGAAATGAATCCTGAAATCAACACATATTGAACCATTTGAATCAAGAGATCATCATTGCTGTTATCATATTCTGATTATTTTGTGGTTTATCAATAACTTTCTTCTCTTAGTCTGGTGATTGTTAAGAGAACTCTCTTCAATAAAGCATGGGGACTCAGGGTTAAAAAAAAAAAAAAAAAAATAAGAAATACTCACCCTGTAGTCACAGAGGATTGAACCCGTGTCTTCACAAGATCTAATGGCTGAAACAAAAGGGCAGAACATGTCCCACTAAGGGATCCAGCAAGAAAAGATTTTAGAACAGGGACCTGTAAAATGGAAAATCAGAAAAAGATTTTATTAATTACAATATTATTAATTAATTAATTATTATTAATTAATTAATTTCAACTTATTTATTACACAAGTCTTTCTTTTGTCACTTAACTACAATTCTTGTGGATTAAACACCACCAACTACAACTTTACTGAGGATTATGGCCATATCACATTGAAACAACAAAGTTTATCAACATCGTGCTTAATCAGTACCTAGATGGGGTGATTGCTTATGATTTCCAGGTGCTGCAAGACTAGATGTGAGGGCGATGTAATGGATAACATTTCAGAAATGGAAATCGGAAAGCTAACTTCGAATTCCAGTTGGGTTCACTTACAAGCAAATACCCTTGGAAATCCACCTTTTCTCCTCCCAACTATGGGTTAATTAGTAGGACTTGTATCATTAAATTATTATCTTTAAAAAATTATTATAAAAAATTTTCTGGCTTTAAATAACCTGCAAAAGGTTGATAGACTGTAAAAAAAAAAAATCAATTAACAATTTTATTGGTTTTTATTTCCATGTATTTAGATATTTTTATACATTATTGGAATAATCAGGTTAGAGAGAAATAATTCTATTTCACCAGAATTTATAATTTCTTTTTAATAAATTATTTATAATAATTAAAAAACTACTTCTGAAAGTACAGTTTTTGTTTTTAAATTGATGTCAAATCAAATTGATTATGGGCAGATCAGTTTTCTTTGGTGGCGTGCAAGATGGTGGAACCAACCAATTCTTGACAATTTGGTAAGGAAATTCATGAAGTTGTGGTACCAAATTGCCATGAAAATATGCACAGAAAAAGGCATAGGGAATCTATGTTACAGTGATGGGAAAGTGATTGAAGTCGAGATGCCAGGTCAGGACCAATAGCATTGCAGATTCCTTGAATTTTGTCAAGAATTTTTTTTAGATACATAGCAGAAGCACCAGACCAGATGTGACAGCCATATTCAATGCATAGACAAATGGTCGACTAATAAATATTCAAGATAGATTCTGACAAGAAAAACTGTCTAGCATGACACTGAATCAATTTTCCTAAACAAAGAAATTGACTTGTAATAATTTTTCGATTTCATGTCTGTGAAAAACATATATATTACTATTCTGGAGGTTAGCATCAGTCATAGTGTTGGAAAGCAATCAGAAGTCAATAATTATATCATAAATATTTCCTAGACAATTAATAAGAATATATTTCTTTATGAAGTCCTGTGGAAAATTCAATTCTTAGGATACAACTCATTGAATAGAAGTACACTGTACAACTTAGTGACACTATTCTTAAAAACTAACGGTTGTGGTGATGAGATTAATTGTATATTCAAATGACAATGTTGACTAAGTTTAATCTTTGTGTTTGCTTATAGATTTTATGCAAATGCCAAACTACAGATAACTAATTGTATTTTCAGATTTCAAATATGATTTGATCAAAAAATGATGTCTAAAAGGAAAAATAGATACTACCTCGAAGTTTTGGTTTTTTCAGGTTTTTGACATTACAAAATACAATCTATATTCAAGGAAGAACAAAGGCTACAACAAAGTGAAAAGGAAAAAACAAATCTGAAGGTTACAATGATTATTACAATACCCTATTTAGAAAAAAAATAAATAAAAACTGGCAAGGCAATAGGATACAGAAGTTCAGTTTTAAAAAAATGTTTCTTGTACATAGCAACCAAAAATTGTGCAGTCTTCAACATTCAACTAACATCGGTGATGTAGCAAATTTGTTCAAGGTTAGATGAAGTCAACCTATCTAATCTATGGGTAAAGTTGGATATTTTGCAGTCAAAAAAAAAAAAAAAAAAAAAAAAATCTGCCTTTACACAAAAAATTTATACACAGTTAAGATTAGATTTGATTTGATTTGTTTGTTTAACAGCACCTCAACTCCTTATGGGTCATTTAATGCCAAAATTTAATTTTCTTGTGAGCTTTGAAGTAATAAAAACATGATATATGTTTTTATGCTTTCACAATTGAATACATGGTAGATGATACTCAGCTTTTGTGCATAAACATGTTTGTGTGAACATAATTACTAGAGACAGTGATATGTGCATTTTATGTTGTTGAAGTTATATTTTGGAATATCATTTCAATTAAGAAATTATAGGATATTATTTGGATTAATGTTATGAAAGAGTTCTTTCATATTGGTTGTTTGGTTGATTTTGTTTAATGGCATATCAACACCTCTACGGGTTATATAATGGCAAGAATGTAAATATTTTGAACACAATTTTATGGCTTCAACTAAATATATTTTGAACACAATTGTATCTCTTCAACTACAGTAAAATGTATTGTTGGTCATTTTACTATAAATATGTAATGCCGGTATTTTTGCTATAAGAATATATTATTATACTTTCATAGTGTTTTGCTTTTGTTTGGGAGTTCATTATTTGCCCATGGTTGGGATCCTTACAGGTGCTACCACCCCAGATCAGGGTGGACTTGGGATCAACAGTAATTAACAGGTGGTTTCATGCTCCTCAAAACCTCCCATCTGATCAGAGGCCTTGCTGCCGGATGTACAGTTAACATTAGATTTTTAATGTTACTTGCAATTTTGTGTTTTTGCTATTTTCAGTCAAATACATGGAATATGTGTTGTTAATGTGTTATAAAGAAATCATCATTGAGAAACTTTCTTAGCAAAATGACAAAGAAATGTTAAAGTGCCAAATGACAAAGAAGTGACATTCAAAATAAAAAGAAATTTGTCAGAAAATTAGATCACAAATGACCTGCAATCATAGATTGATTTGGGGCACATAATGAAAAGTTCTCTGACAAACAAAACAAAACTTTAATAAAAAAATAAAAAATCTGGTCAACTTTTGGGAAGTTAATCAGCTCAAGAGATTTTCAGTACACTCTCATACTTTATTTCTACGCTGACAGAACTCCAAATAAATATCTTTGCTTGTTCTTAGGTATATTTGGGTTGATAATCCATAAAAAAACAAATCAGTCAATCAAAACTATATTTTAAATGGTGGAACAATTATATGGAAGACATTTTGAAAATGCTGATTGTTCAAGTCTATTCATGTCTAAAACAGACAGCAAGTTTTGACTTTTCCTTTAAGGAGACATTTCCTAATAAAAACTACTACTCCTATATTCTTGTTTGACACAATCATAAAATGTTTAACAAATTTTATTGTAGGAGAATAAAATATTGTAAGAAAAAAGAACAATTTAAAATCATTGTAAGAAATAAAAACAATTTAAAGTGACTAAATGTATTAAAAAAGAAAAATTGTCTCATTTAAAAGATTTTTTAGTAGCTGGACAATTATTTGAAACAATTTAAAATAGTTTTTTTCTCAGTTGCTAGAATAAGAAAAATTAAAAAGCAAAACTTTCTCAAGGCATAATCTTATTAACAGTTTAGGGATAAAAGATAACAAAAGATTTGAAGTCGACTTCTAATTTCAAAAATTAAAGAACTACAAACATGAAACAAGTGCTTACATGATATTTACAATGTAAATTTGTATGGACAGGTTTTCAATAGAAGAATAAAAATATATATGGTTTTATTTTTTTGATAAAAGCAAAAAAGAGACCATTAGAAAAGGATTTTTATAACAGTTTAAACCTCCTGAAATATTAAAATAAGTAAATTAATTGTTCTTTTATTTTATGCCATATTACTGAACAAAATATTCAAGCATATTCCAGCCAACCAGAAAGACACTTTAAATCTTTTTTTTTAAATTTTGAAAAAGAAATTATTTATTCCTAAACTAGTGGATTGACAGATAGTTGTGCTTTGTGTTTTATATGTTTCTCTCTTTCAACCAATATTTTTATAAACGTGCTGTTCCAAGAGAAGTAACATAAGTGATGCATGTACTGGGGCACCTCAACATAGTGTAATGGTTAACCAGCTGGTCTTGCTCGATCATTTACAACTCCTCACTGGGTGCCTCATACTTTCAACCTTGTGCAACATCTAAGTTACACTGAAAAAAAAAAAAAAAAAAAAAAAAAAAATCACCATAAGTGACACAGGTGCTGATGTCATTACAAAAGAAAAACAAAAGTAAGTTGAATGTAGAATGAAAAAATAAATTTATTTTAATATTAATAAAATAAACAAGAAATAAATTTATAATACAATAATTTATTTAATCAAACTTTTTACAGTTAGATCTTAATGACATCACAACACAGAAAAATAAAATTAACACATCTACTCTTGGCCTTCACATACATTTAAAATTTTCTTTTTATTTTAAAAAGAAGATTATAATGAATCTGGACGGGACAAAAAGCAAATGTACATCCCCCCCCTCACAACCTTGCATTCTTTTTGTTAAATAAATTATTTTATTATACAGTATTCTTGTTTATTTTCTAAATATTGTTTTCAATCTTTTAAATTCTAGCAAGTTCTATTTTTAAAATGCATCAGCACATATCACCATGTTCCTCTTGGGTTTATAAAAATACACTTTCAATTTTTCAAAGAGGGTCCAGACAAAAATTATTTCAGATTTATTTTTTATACATTTTCCATTAAATTAAAATATACTTTCAAACAAACTTTCAAACTTTTTAAATACAATTTTTTTGAGTAATACTGAATTCAACCAGAAAATGATGAGGTCTATATTTTTTCTTTCTAATTGTTATTTTTTTTTCTTTCTTTTTGTCTAATTAAGATTACAAGAAGAAATAATAATTACTTTGCCATAAGAAATAATTTATTTTCAAATAAATAAGAATGACTTTTGTTACTTGGACCATGTAAACAATTGACTATTGTTGTCATTTAGAATTTACTTTTTGGTGCAGAAGTTAGTGTGTTAGTTATTTATTTGCTATTGATAGCAAATTTGTACCTCAATGAAAGTCCCCAAAATTTGATATAGTTAACCAATTCCAGCACATATTCACAAATTTGCTACCTGCCTTAAAGTTGTTTTTCAACAAATTTAAAGCAAGCAAAGAAATATTTTAATCCAAGAGTCTTAGCCCCCCCCATATTAAAGCCACAAATAAATGCAGATAAGCTGACATTTTTTTTGTAAACTTCTCTCATTGAGGAATACAGTTAATAACCCCCAAATTTCTCACTTGTACCATTTCAAAATAGCATCTAAGATGGCTGCCAAATCCTTTACAATGCTCATTCCTCATTTACTGTTTATCATAAATGAGGTTTTTCAATGTATTTTTATTGTATCAAGTGTCTTTAATAACATCAAAAGTTTGCTACAAGCTAACTCATGGAAAAGTATGATTTTCAAAATGCCATATATGAATGACCACTGCTAAATCCTTAAAAATGTTCAATATTCATCCTCAACAATGTTTCTAAACAGTCATTTGTAGTATTAAGTGTGTTTAATAAGAGACAAAAGGCTTACTACAGTCTGATCACTGGAAAGGTTTAATTTCCAAGATGGTTGCCAAGCAAATCCTTTATTATTTACTGGAGAAATATTGTCTTCCTCCATGAATGTCTTTGCATCAGTTTCCAGTACTCATGGTGAAATAAGACACTGCACAGAACAGTTTCTGCTGCTAATTTGCTACAATCAATAAATGCATCAGCAAATGGCACCTTTACATCAGCTGGTCTTCCAAATAAACCAGTGCAGCTGCTAAGCAGTGCTCTATAAAAGTGTACCTACCACTGTATTGGTAGGGAAATCACAAAACAACCAGACTGCGGTTACCACTGGCCAACCAGATGCTACTCAGAAGCTTGTCAATACTGGTGATGGAACAGACATGGAAAAGTAGGAATGGCTTTCTCAGATACATGCATCCATTATATATGCCAGACATGCATTAATAACCATTTGTACTAATTGTGCCATGTGTACTATTATTGTTACCCATTTTATGGTTAATTTAACTAAATTCATGACTGAAAGTTTGAAATAAAGCTTTGTAGTTTAACAGCTCATACTTTGATTCCCCATTTTATGTTACCGATTTTCTTTAGTATTTTCTTAATTAGACTCACCAACTAAATTATATTTAAAGTAAAACATTCTGCATAGGATTTTTTTCTCATACTAACCAAGAAAAAATTATAATTTGCTATAGTCTTTTTGAAAGCAAAAACATTTGGTAAACATATAATTCAAATTGATATGTTCTATGTGCTTTGTCCCTTCAGGATGCGGGCAATCATGGCTCTCCACTATGTTCCACCCTTTGTAGCCCTTAGTAAAGTTTGTCTTTTTGTTATATCTCTTAAGTCCTGTTCTGCCAAGCATTTACTAAAGCTCATTCTGTAGGTCATGTGCTGCTTTTCTCTGTCCCTTAATATGCCCTGTGAGTGTCAAATTTTCTAAGCCCTCTTTCCACATTATGTGCCCAAGAAATTTCAACTCTCTCTTTATGATGCTACCTATAAGTGTGCTTTTTGCTTTCATTTTCTCCAAAACTTCATCATTGCTCACGTGTTCAGTCCATGGTATTCTCAATTCATGGATTGGTGAAGTAAAAGCTAGTTTTTGCACAAAGAGAAAACCTGGGAGTTCTATTCTAAAAACAATCAGTTGACCTCCATTTTTGAAAGCATTAAAACTAGTTCAGAAAAATGAACAAAATGTACCTTGGAAGTCATCAGACTATGAAAGCCTTTTATTGATGCTATTAAGCACACTTAATACAAAATATCATTCAAAAATTTTATTCATCTGTTATAATGAACAAGTAGAAAGCATTTTTAGAGATTTGCCTGGTAGCCATATTGTACACCAAAGTAACAAGCATTGAAAGTGTATATCTGCCATCTTGGGCATCATATTGAAAAAATACAAAAAAGAAACGTTTCTAGGAATTTTTAGTGCTCAGAAAATTCAGTAACAGAAGATTCAGAAAAAGAAAATTTGGTAGGAAAATTCAGTAACTATGAAATAAAAGTCAATTGAAAATTAATTTTAGGGCCGTCCTGGAGTGGAAATTTGGGCAATAAGACTTCCCTTCCTTATATTTTTGAAATAGAAATGAGGCTATATAGTTTTTGCTTCTTTAAAAAAAATTAACTATCTAAAACTTAATTTATTTACTACTTTTTTATTAAGATAATAATTTGAAAAGAAGATACAAGAACTTAACTTTAACTTAGATAAATCATTCTTATTTGCTTGAAAACAATAGAGTATAAAATTAAATAAATACTTATTTAAAATATATTTATTTAAAAATATTGGACGGGGAAGAACTTAGCAAACACCCCCACCACCTATTCCCCAATTCAGAAAGTATGGCCCTGGTATTGTTGCAGTGGGGTTTTTATTGGGACTGGAATCCATGATGTTAATAATTAATACTTATTTAAACATATGGGGGTGGGGTAGACCTCTCCAGAAACATGGCCCTGGTATTGTTGTAGTGTGGTTTATCAAGACCCTCATAGTATTAATAATACTTTTTAAAAAATATTGGAGAAGGAGGCCTAGCTGCCTAAGCCCCACTTCTGCAAGTACAGCCCTGGTATTGTCGTGGTGTTTATCTGGACTCCATGATTTTCAGTTATTGAAAAATATAGGGGAATGGGGCTTAGCCCCCAAATACCCACCCCAGAATGGCCCAAAAATCAATTTTCAATCGACTTTTATTTCATAGTCACAGAATTTTCTTACCTTGTCAAAATTACTGAATTTTCCTAAATTCGAATTTTTAAATATGCTATTCCTTAATATACCAGGAGGAAGATATTCTGGAAAAAAAAAAGAAGTTTACCTGCATTTATTTTCAGTTTAAATGCTGAAGCTTTTGAATTATTTAGACATGTCTCTTAAAAAAACACTTGAACCAAAATTCAATTTATTTATCTAGGATTCTAAAATTAGAGAAATATTTGACATGTACATTAATTTAATTTAAATCAAATGTTTTTTTTTTTGTAGATATTAATGTAAACTTTATTAAAATTAGCTGAAATGAAATTCAAAGTTGAGTTTCTATAAAACAATTTTCTGTTGCTTATGTTTTTTTTTAAATTAAGAAATTGTGTCAAGTTTGAATAAATAATGAAAAAAACATGATGCATTTAAATGTATTTATACTCACGTTTCTTAAAAAAAATGTCTGAATTTTATTTTATACAAAGGAGGAGGATTCAGAATTTATTCATTTGTCAGAAAAATAAGGAGTCAAAATTAAAATAAATTCAATAATTTTAAAAAGCAAGTTCATTTGTTGCGTGACTAAAAACTAGAATTTCTATTTTTCAAGAAAAAATTATTAGTCCAATAGCTGTGATAGTTTTTCCCTCACCAGTACCCAAGGATGGTATTTGATCTCTAAAACTAAAGCAGGTGTGTACAAAGTCAAAATGACCCATGAGACTACCTAGTGTGGTCAGTGAGAGGGATTTTTCATTTAAATTTTAAAATTAGTAAATTTTTTTTAGTGTTCATCTTAAACAAATTCGACGACTGATTGTGTACAGAAAATTCAGTTTTAATATTTTTTTTTTTTTTTTGTGGAGGCATGGTATTTTTAGTTTATTCAACCAATACTTCACTGTAACTTTCCGTAGATAGAGAAAATAAAGAATTTTCTCACCATCCCTGTTCTTTTTTTTTTCTATCTCACTTTATACCCAGTAATTTACTCTTGAGATTAATTTTCTTTTCTGCATTCAAGGTGTGCGGGCTCTTACAGTTTTTAATTGTGCAGACCTGATCTTTCTAAAAAAGGTTAAAAAAAAAAAAAAAAAAAAATTTCAAATGCTGATCATTAAAGCAAGTGCCCCCCCCCCTCCGCATTGGGGGCAGCACAATTTCTATCCTTATTAAATTTGCACTAAATTTAATTTTGTCATGGTTTATTTAAGCTTGAGACAAATTTTCTCCAAACAATCGTTCATTTAAAATTAAAAACGAAGTAATGAATTTAAGTTGAAAGACTCACAAAAAGAAGACGGTAAAAAAGGAGCCTCATCAAAAAATAATTTAAAATAAAAACGTTACAATTCCTTTTTCTACAATCTGTTATTGTTGTTATTATTATTTTTGTTGTTGTTATATTGTTTATATTATTGTTATTATTATTATTGTTGTTGTTATTCGGAAATTAATCAATCTTGTTTCAGTCCCTTCCCCGTTGCATTTATGTTGCAGTCAGTATGTGATGATTTGAATCCCCAACAGAAATGTACCGAGGGAACTGGACAATTTCTGACTCTTCAACTGACACATTAACTATGACCTTGTGTTAAATCTAGTTTCGTAGGTGGGGTAGGTAAACAACAAACATCAGTCAAGGCATTTTTAATTCAAGCTATGATCATTCTTCTTTCTAAGTTATTTATTTTGAGAATTATTTAAAATTTTTTTAAAACATTGGTTTTCATTTTTGTTTCTCTCAATACTGATTTTTAAAAAAATTATTTTTCCTTTTCTTTTTTTCCGTTATTACATGATAAAATAAAAGTCCACTTATGTCCGACAAAATAAGTGAATTCAAAATGAGATGAGACAAAAAAAGTTCCAGACACAAAAAAACTATGATATTCCAAATCATTCTAATTTACCAAATTAAAAAGTTTTTCGATGTCATCAACACTAAATTAAAAGATGAATTAAAACTTTTAAAAGAATCATTCTTTTAATTAAAGTAAAATTGTTCTAAACAATTCATTGTCAAGTGAAAGATGCACCAAAGAGGTCATAGGTAATAATATGTGAAGAACAAGACTGTCCTTACGTTGTCTACGGTATTTTTATTTCAGTCACAGAGGGGAAAGAAATCAATAAATTTTAAATTATTGCAAATAATTTAAAGAAACTTATTATCGCGCGAAAGATATTAAAAAGATTTCTATGAAAAACAAGTAAGAGAGTTCTAAATCATTTTTTAAGTGGATAAATTAATTATTTGCAAATGAAAATGAAAGATAAAAAAAATATTTTGACTATATTTATTTTCATGAACTTACGGCAGGGGATCCCATGTGAGACGGAATTGCGACCGTCGTCATAACCAATGATGGTGATGATAATTGTCCATCTGTTTCCCGAAGGACCACATCAGCACAAGGGGCAACATCTTCAAGCATATAAGGTTCCTCATTTATATTTGTCAACAAATTGTTATCAGAATCTTTTTCAAGAGTTCCTGTGTATTTATTTGTTGATGTTTGTTGTTTTTCGTCAGCCAGGATTGCATCTACGAAAACAAAATATTAGTTTTCCTGACTTTCACAGGGTAACCTGACTCGGATTTTTCCGTTATTGCCTTGTCAAAAAGAAGCTTAAAGAAAGAATGAAGCGTGATTTCAGTCTTTTTTTGTGTGTGTTTGTGTGGCATATATATATAAATATAAAGATTCACACATCCTGGATGGACGTAAAAAGCAATAATGCATGAAGCTTTTAGAGTGATGTCCCCTTATTCAGTGAATGGGGCACCTGATCGGGGGCGCTTTTACTAATGACAACATTGAGTACACAAGTACTAAAAAGTAGTAGTAGGTAGTTTAGTTTGACGGCTTTGGCGTAAAAGTAATGGTTAACGAGTTGGTCCAGCTGACCATTTACTGTGTGTGTTACCCGACCGCGATCGTTATTGGGTGCCTATACTTTTCGATTTGTGCCATAAAACCAAAATAAGTTTAGTAAATAAAAAAGTTAGTACCACGACTACTACTTTTTTATTTAAACGTAGTCTCTCTCTCTCTCTCTCTCTCTCTCTCTCTCTCTCTCTCTCTCACACACACACACACACACACACACACACACACACACACACACACACACACACACACTTCTCCTTGAACGAGAGATACCATCAAGGACCTAATTTGGCAACCAACAATACAGACATTTGTTGTGTGTGTGTGCAACGGGTGGAATACTGTATTATTGCCAATAATTTTCCAGTCGGGGAGGGCCTGTTTTCCTTAAGTTTTAAAATTCAACATTTTATTTTTCTTTAATTCAGGCTCAAATACTAGTTAAAAATGCAGTAAATGTCATCACACATAAACACACATACACACACACACACACACACACACACACACACAAACAAACAAACAAACAAACAAAACAAGTGAGCTAAATTAGAAATAGGACATTTATAGACAATGTGGACATAGGAATCAACGTTACGTGGTGACTCAGTTTCACGTTTCTATGCGATGTTCAGTCCAAATTTGAAGATCGAATTGAGGCGTGATAGTCACCATTCAGTGTTGATTCCTATGTCCAAACTGTCTATAAACACTCTGTTTCCGATATGAGGCTATGGACACCCACCAGGGCCAGCACGTATACCCGCGACCCGGGCAGAGCAAGCAGCCTGATTTGGGGCCTTGGTCAGTGTTTTTTGTGACTCGCGCTATCTTATCACCATTTGCTTTATTTTTTCTACCTACATTTATGTTACAAATTAAACTATGGACAACTGACTAAAAACAAAAGAATGATTGAAACGTTTTCGCGGATTTTGACGTCATTTTGGGTTTATTTTTTTTATATGGATTTGTTTTGCTCATGTTGTCTCGATTAACACTACAGGCATCCCTTTAATGCACATTCGATTAATGACCTAAAATGTTTATATACCAAAATTCGATTAGTGCATAATACTCGATTAGTGCGGTAAAAGTTTTTTCAGTTTAACCATAGTAATTGAAAATTGATTTTTTATAGTTACCGATGTACACAAAGCCGCACTAATCGAGGGATTCCTGCATAAAATTCACTATTTTTTATCCATAATGTTGAATATGTTAATTAAATTATTCAAATTTTTAACAAGGAAAATCTCAAGTTGATGTTAAAATTTGCCGCAAAACATTGTTGATATATTTAAGATGGAATGATGTATTCTATTATGACATGTCTCTCTAATTTGTATATATTTATTTTCAAATTTTCTAGTTGAATTGTTCACCTATTGCATATGATTTATTAGTGTACATAATTAGGTTACAATAAAAATTTGTATTTTATATGAATACTACCTTATGAATATTGAGATGTAGTAGAGTGTGGCACTCTGTATCATAGATTGTACTGTCACTGTCTAAGACCATAATTGTAAATAATCAAGCCTGATTGGTGGCCCCGGGCAGTGCTTTGTGACCCTCACTATCTCATCAACATTTGCTATTTTTCTACCTAAAATTACACGTTACAAATTAAATTTAAAAGATAAAAAAAATTCTGCAGATTTTGACGTCAGCTTTTTTTCTTTTCTTTTTTTTTCTTTTTCATCCAAATCCGCGAAGTTGTTTTTTTCATGTTCTGTCGAAAAAACAAAAACAAAAAACACTATCCATTATTTTTCATCTATAATGTGAAATGTGTTAAAATTATTTAACTTTCGAACAAGAAGAATCTCAAGTTTATGTTAAAAATTGCCGCAAAACCTTGTTCATTTAATTCAGATGGCATGTTGATCTATTATGACATGTCTCTTTGTATTTAGTTAGGTACATTATTTATTTTGAATTTTTCGAGTTGAATTGTTCACCTATATTGCATATGACCCATTATTGTACATAATAAGGTTAAAATAAAATTTGTATTGTATACGAATACTAACTTATGAAAATTAAGATGTAGTAGAGTGGAGGGGCCCGTATCATAGATTGTGGGAGACGAGACCCTTTCGTCATCCCTGATACACACACACGCATAATATATATATAACAAACCAAAAATATCATGGAAAATAAGGAAAACAGCATCAGCCTACAACAATAAATCTGACTAGAGGAGAAGATAGCTATAATTACCTTCCCAGACCAACACAAATTGCTAAATAAAGAATCAGAACTCATCTCAAAATGCAGACACGAAACAAATTTTTTATTGTTACTTAAAAATCGAAAACAAAAAACAAATAAGAATAAATAAACAAATAAGAAAAATTAAATAAAACAAACAAATCAAAACCAATAAATCAGTATACAATTAAGTAATACACAGATTAAGAATGCGCACATAAATGTAATAATAATGATAAACACATAAAAGTAATAATAATAATCATAAACACATAAATGTAATAATAATTATAATATAATAAGATTATAATAATAATAATGAACAACAAATAAAGTAATCAATAAACAATGAGTAAAAAGTTAACTAATAACACTATAAAATTACTGCAAATAAATGTATTTGGATCCACAATTATTTTTTACTCAATAGTTTCTGGAATAATTTGAAACATAACCGTTTCCGTCCATCCAATAACCGGTAGGATAATACAATAGACTTTCTATCCATAATGCACAATTGACCAGTATATATAAATAATCGAGTCAAAAGACAACACACTTGGCCTGAAAATTGTGTTTAAGCATGAAACAGACTGTCGATCATGGGTGTTGACCTCAATGTCGACTTTTATCTTCATATTTACACGCGCGGAACTGGAATATTTGTTGAACCTTTTGGTGATTTTTTGCCAGTGTTGAATGAGTCATTTGATATCGGGGATATTACTCCCACTTGGATTTGACAGGTTTGCCAATATTACGTTATGTGGTGCAGTTAAACAGATATAAAAACGAGACACCCCATTTTTAGTTTCTCTTTTCCTTCTAGCATGCAGTAGAAGTGAAAACCAGCACGGGACCTCGTCCCGGGCATTTAGATAACCTTACCCTGAATGACTGAACATTCACACACACGCGTCTATCACTGACACATACTGACACGCAAATTCCGAATTTCTAAATTTGATTGTTTACTTTTATTTTCAGCTATATTTACATGCACATTTTTTCTTTTCATTGTTAATCAGTCAGTTGTTATATGAAAACACATGAAATTATAATCTTGTTGAAATTTATTCTACTTTCTTTCTTCTTTCCTCACAATGGAAACCCGTCGTTTACACGTACAATCTTTATTTGCGACATTTTAGTTGCTTTTTTGTACAAACACAAGGAAAAAAAAAGCACAATCGCAGTACCTTGTCAGTAATCTTTAACGTAACTTATATATATATATATGGTCAATATTGGAGATTGAGCGTTTATAGAAACAGTGTGGACATAGGAATCAACACAGCATGGTGATTGTCAATTCCACGCCGCAATGATATCTTCAAACCAAGATCGCGTGAAACATGTAACTAACTTTGACCATGCAGTATTGATTCCTATGTCCATACTGTCAATATAGAGTGCGATGGGTAAAATGTCGCCGTTTGATATTTTTAATTTTGCGTATGCGCGTTGTTTGTTTTTGTCTTTTTCGACTGCACGGTAGAGTAGGGTCAGTTGTGCACCGTCTGTGAAAAAAGAACTCCATGACGCAATTCACTTCTTTAGAAATTTGGAAACGGCATGCAGTACTGTCTGACATTTGCACCGGAAGCACAAATACAAACATTTCAGAGTGTTTGGGTGTCAATCCGAGGACCAGTGCAGAGGATTCGGAAAGAGTTGGATCAGTCTAATGGTGATTACGAAGGTGTTTGGAGTGATCACTAGTGATGTTGATGTGATGCCCCTATTCATCTTCCCAAAGGGCCTCACACTCAACACTGAGGCCTACATTAAGTGCCTTAGTGTTTAGTGTTGCTCTGGGTTAAGAGGGTATCTGTTGGAACCCCCTATGTCGGGCAGCAGGACTCTGCACCAGGTCACACAAGCAGAGGAATCCAGTCATAGTTATCAGTTATTATTTCTGCAAACACATCACCCCTTACATCTGACCGCCTAAATCCTCAGACTGCAACCCCATTTGATTATTATGTCTTGGGCGCAGTTGAGCTAGAGACCAATAAAACTCCTTGTAACACCAAAGATGAACTGAAGGTAAAGATTATGGCAGCATTCACCAACTTAAACAAGGAGACCGTCCACAAGAGTTGCAGGAGATCCCAACGTTATTAGCAGGCCATGGTTGAAACCAATGCCGATTTTATTGAATAAATAGTATTCATGATACTTTTGTGCAGTTTTTTCTAAATATATCTGTCAAATAAAGCGTTAGTGTTATTTTCATTTTTGCGTAATTTAGACGACAGTCTACGCATCGCACCATATATATATATATATATATAAACAGTATTTTGACACCATTTAGG